GAGCAGGATATGCCGATATCCTTTTGAAGCCGCTTTGCCCCTCGGCTTTTGTTGTTCTTTTATACATAACACTGCTTCATCCTAAAAGCTTCCTCGGCACTCATTGCAAAGCTTTATGTCGTGATTTTTTGTACACATTTCTTATCTCTTTGTGAGTAGATCAAATCATGCAGCTTAACGATGGAGGGTTTAGCAAAATGTAGTTATGCTTTTTTGAATTTTAAATGTCCCCCATCCATTTCAACCTGACCTCCTTTAGCACCTTGACAAGGCCGTTTTTATCTCGCACAGTCAAGGGAAATCAGGAAAATTCGGAAGACTTTATGATGGCGCTTAGACAGGGCACTCATATACTTTTCCTCCCAGGATATCTGCCCGACAGCCCAAATCCTAGCTGCATATTTGCATAGAGTGAGGACAAACTATCGCTCAAACTTATGATCAAAATCGTGGAAGATGATGTCATAGCTGCAAAGTTCCTAGCAAAAAAAAAGCGTACAATTCAAGGTGTTTTTTTTTGTAGCAGATATTTAAATTTTGGTTGGGAATGTGTATTTTGATTCAACCTGATATCGTTCTCATTGTTGTACGGCTAAATTTGTACTCAAAGTTTTGACGGTTTCGGATCTTGGAATAGCAGATATTCCTCGATTTTACAATAGTTTTTTTTATTATCAACTGATCAATTGAAATAATTCGGACCTATCGAATAGCGATACTAATATGATATTGCCCTCTATACTGCTGCAGTACAATGATAGGTATAAAAGAAAACCGCGAAGATCAGGGTCTTGAAAATTCCGCTTGCTTTTTTCGGAAGACCTAGTATCATGCGATAGCTTGAATTGTATCTGTGATAACACTTAAAGCATGTCCCTCAGAACATTCTGCCCTCTTTGCCCTCTTTTCTTTCAGCTACATCTTTGGAGGTGGTGTCCTAGCATCTAAACGTTTTAAGTTCCCATCAGAACATAATGGCCGACTTTCTGATTAAACCACTCTTCGAATTAAGCAAGTCATGGTGATGAGAGGAAAATTCACTCCTGCTAATGTCAGCCTGTCCAGTGATTATCCCTTTGCACCTCCTTCGTGTAACTTCTTCCAGAAGGAACACTCTCTAGCGAGAAAGGCATGCGACAATTCCGAGACCGAAAGTCTGAGTTCGCGCCTTGCCGCTCGTTCCCATTATTACAAAGAGGGTTTATTCTTTGTTTTTTGACAATTTCACGGTAACTGAAGTTGATAATCATGTTCAGCAGACTGAACTAGTTTGAAATGGTAGGAAAAGGTAATCGAAAATGTGAACACTGCTTTTACAGATTTGCTCATAAAACGGCAAAAATTTTATGTGTGTTGTATGCAAATGTAAGAAGTAGGCATTCTCATATTCACAAGTAAACTTAGAACACAAGTAAAGCAGCAACAGTACATATTCAGCAAATTCTATCCCGGGTCTCCTCTACTGTTTAACATGACATTCTATGGCTGCAAAGGAACGTCAGCCGAAGTGAATTGGCTGGAGCGCGTGCAGATAGATATCACAATAGAGCATTCGCGAAGAGGACTAATCTCACTTTTTCTCACAAGCCCATCAGGTAGGATTAGAAAATTTTCTAATTTTTCTTTTCAATTCAAAACACATAAAGGAACAACTATTCAATTGCTTCACCCGCGAAAATACGATGACTCCTCCGAAGGTCTTCGAGAATGGCCTTTTGTGAGCGTCGGACATTGGGGTGAAAATCCGAATGGAGTGTGGAAGTTGGAAGCAATGTCAATGGTAGGGTTAATTCATCAAAAATGTTGTTTTTTCGAGATTTTTCACAACTGCTGGATTGTTTAGAGTCACAATAAAGACGCCAAAGCTCTGGGTGTTCTGAGTTTCGTAAGGCTGACGGCTCATGGAACCAAAGATGATCCTTTGAAAGATAACGCATTCATTCTTCATACTGTTTGATTCCCACCCTGATGCAGCGAGCCATTTCGCAATTGAAAGATAGGATCTGTTTTTTACCACTCATTCAACTGAAGAAGCAATGTTTAACTGAAATCTGACTTTACAAATTCTCTGGATTCTGATTTGCAGATTCCAACTTTCTCCAAATGAACTTCCGAAAAACATTTATTTGAACAAAAATGTATGTACAACAGCACAACTATAAAAAATATATGTGGAATATAATGAGCATGTAAGTGATTGGAGGTGCGTATGAGATTGTTTTTCTGAGAAATGTTGCCTTCCGTCGGCAACACATCGGTACTCGTTCTATCACAGATCGTCGAGGGGATTTGAAAGATAAGAAAAAGCTGCTATCATTTGACTAGAAGTCGTAGTGCGCTGAGCGGGGTGGAGTTGACAGTGAATAGCGAAGGAACGTCTCCGACTCAAAATCACCCATCTCCATTAGCGATGGTGGTCCGTTAAGAACTGAAAAACGATGGATTTTCAATCAGAAGAGGAATTTACAACAGGAAAAATAGTGGTCGCTGATCGTCATTTATCAGCCGACACCTTCAATACGCTTAGCAGCTGCTCCACACGCTCTTTTTCACCTGGAACCACTAAGATACGAGCTAGAGCAAACAAATTGGACTTACAGAGTTTCACAGGCGAAAACTAGCGTAACAAAGTTTGATTCTTTCAAAGATCAGCAAAACTAATCATTTAGTAACACAAAATGACTAAGTGTAATTGATGGTAACAACTCTAATACGTTTAACATTTAGCACCCGCCATCTGCCCTTTATAAGATGCTAAATGCGTATTTTTGACATATTTCTAGTTGAAAGTTCATCTTTGTGATAAAATTCACGTTTCCAGACAGATAAAACGACAAAATTCGTAACAACTTTCGCATGTAATAGCCAATCTCGGATTACTATTTGCCAACTACTGCATTGTGAAATTCAATTGTCGAAGCCCCTCATAAGGTGGTACTTTAAGTGCGACCACTACTTGAAATATGCGCTTAATCCTATTTGGTGCTAAATTTTACATTTAAAGTTTACTATTGATATCATTGAATTGATTCACTAGTCGAAGACGTTGTAATAACCATAAAAGTGGAAGCAAAGAAGTAAGCTGAAAACATTCTTGCTCTTGATATTTCCAGTTTTGATGGTTTACCTTATGTCATATGTTATATTTTTGTCTTTAAAATTTGTTTGCCAAAAATTTT